CATACCACACACACACCACACACCACACACACCACACACCACACACCACATACACCACACACACACACAACACACACAACACACACACACACACACACACCACACACAGAGTTTTTTTTTTCCTAAGGTTTATTTATTTTATGTAGCGCTCTATCTGCATATATTCTTGCAGGCCAGAAGAGGGCATCAGGCCCCATTATAGATGGCTGTGAGCCACAATGTGGCTGCTGGGAATTGAACTCAAGACATCTGGAAGAGCAGCTAGTGCTCTTACCCTCTGAGCCCCAAGAGAGTTCTTGCTATATTAAACCTAAAAGTAATGAGTGATTCTTTCCTGGGTATGGTAAGGTACACCTTTTAATCCTAGCACTCAGAAGGCAGAGGCAGGTGTATCTCTGTGAGTTTAAGCCCGGCCTATGATTTCCAGGTCAGGCAGGGCTACACATGGAAACCCTGTGTCAAAAACAAGCAACTAAAAAGTATGGAGGAATAAGAATCTGGCTTGGTAATGGTGTACCTGTCTCCATGGGTTCAACCTCCAGCACTGAAGAAGTAAGAAGAAGATGAGGAGAAGGAGGAGATGATGACCAACAACAACAATAAAACCAAACCATAAAACAACAAAACTCTAAGCCAGACCTGGTAGTGTAATGTCAGCACTGGAGAAATAAGAGATTGGAGGATGAGGAGTTCAAGGCCAGTTTAGCTATGTAAGACTAGCCTGAACTGTACAGTTGTACAATAACACACACACACACACACACACACACATACACACATACTCTCTGTCTCTGTCTCTCTCTCCCTCTCTCCTTCCTTTAGATCCATGATCAGGTATGCCTGTCCACTTAGACAGATCTTCATTAATTTTTCTCAATAGTAGCTTGTGTGCTTCAGAGTATATACTATGTGTGCACACTTGCTTTAAAGGCAATGCAACCCTAAGTACCTGAGTTTAAGTCAGCACTAGCACCCATATAATAGCTCCTCCCTCTCTCCTTCCAACCCCCCGCCCCCTCCCTCTCTCTCCCTCTCCCTCCCTCTCTCTCCCTTCTCCTTCCTCCGTCCCTCCCTCCTTTCTTTCTTTCTTTCTTTCTTTCTTTCTTTCTTTCTTTCTTTCTTTCTTTCTTTCTTTCTTCCATGGCTTTTGTTTTTCTGTGTAGCCCTGGCTATCCTGAAACTTGCTTTGTAGATCACACTGGCTTCAAACTCAGAGACCTGCCCAGCTGATAGCTTAGGCTTATTACTAAGTAGCTCTTAGGATTTAAATTAACCTATTTCTATTAATCTACATTCTGCCTTGTGACTTGTGGCTTTACCTGTTCTCTAGCATGCTTTGCTCCCCCTGCATCTCCTGGTGACTCTTCTGATTCCACCCATCTTCTTCCTAGCATATTCTCTGGTCAAAAAACCCTGCCTGGCTATCCACCAATCAGCTTTTATTAACAACGAAAGCAACACATTTTCACAGTGTACAGAAGGATTATTTATAGTCGCCTAGGAGATACATCTCTGGGCATGTCTGTGGGGACCTTTCCAGAGAGAGCTGAGGAACTCCACCCTGAATGTAGGTGTCACCATACTGTAACACTGAACCTGGACTGTAAAGAAGAGAGCAGAACACATTCATTTGTCTGCTTCTGGCACTGTGTGCCATGTGGCTGGCAGCCTCACACTTCTGCTGCAATAGCTAGGGCCACTTTCACTGCCACACCCTCCCTGCAGGTAATGCAGTGTTCTCTCAAACTGTGAGCCAGCTGCTTTTTTTTTTTTTTTTTTTTTTTTGTTAGAGATTGAGGAATGTAAGTGGGGAAATGATTGAAAAAGACACTTCATCTAAGAAAATCTAGGACTAGTAAGCACAGGAAAGGATATTTAACTGGCTAGTTATTAGTGAAATGTAATTAAAGCACAATGAGTTATCAAGACATACCTAACATAAAAATTAGGGGCTGAAGAGATGGCTCAGTGGTTAAGAGTACTGACTGCTCTTCCGAAGGACCCTGGTTTAATTCCCAGCACCCCCATGACAACTCACAATGTCTGTAACTCCATTTCCAGGGGATGTGACACCCATGGCAAAACACCAGCAAACATAAAATAAAAATATCTAAACAACAACAACAAAAGAAAATTAAAAAGACTGACTTTACCGGTGTTGACGACGGAGAAGGTTTGATGCATTACTGGCAAGAATGTAAAATGACTCAACCATCTTTTTGCTTTTCAATTTTTTCGTAAATAGAAAAAGAGAGCTCTATTTTGACGTCTTCACGCATGTGTATCAGGCACTTTCTCATGGTTTTCTCCATTCTCATTTCTTTCCTGCCACCTCCTGTTGGTGTAACCACAGGGAAGCAGTGGTTCTATAAGAACTTAGCATCCACCTCTTATATTCTGTAGCCACTCCACTCCTAAATATATACCTAAAAGGAAAGAAAGTGCGGAAGCGGGTTGTGTGACTGCTCATACACAGCAGCAGTGTTTCTAAACCAGAGACCCAGAGGGAATACGAGTGACCATTTATAGATGGCTGCATGAACAAGCAGGGGCAGCCAAGACACTTCTACGAGAACTTGCAGTCTTAGTCTCTGCACTTCATCTTCAAGGCAGGATGTTTGGGAGACACATTCCAGCCTTTTCCCATCACTCTTTCCGGATACATCCCCGTTGGATAGTCTCTCTCTCTCTTTGTCTGGGTGTCTCTGCCTCTTTGTCTCTCTCTGTCTCTCTGTCTCTGTCTTTCTCACTGTGTCTGTCTCTCTCTTTCTGTCTTTGTTTCTCTCTCTGTCTCTTTGTCCCCCCTCGTGTGTATGTGTGTGTGTGTGTGTGTGTGTGTGTGTGTGTGTATGTGTGTGTACATACATGCCCTGCATGCTTGTGGAGGTCAGAGGATAACTTGCAAAAGTTGGGTAGTTGGGTCTGTCCCCACAAGAGTCCCAGAGATTGAATTCAGGGCATCAGGTTTGGTAGCGACTGACTTAATTGGCTGAGCCATCTCACATCCTTTCTCTTGGTCTTGAGCTCTCTGCATTCCTGGAGCCTCCTGGATGCATCTGTGAAATGAGACTTCATGAGATTTTTTTTTAGTGTGCCAGGGTTGCCCCTTCCTACTTCTCCTCCTGGCCCATTGCTTCCCAGCCTGGGTGCGTGTGCTTCTTCTCAGGGCCTCTCCTTCAGTCTTCTTGTCAGCCTTCTTCTCCCCACTCCCCTTTCCCTTTTTTATGATCCCTTTTCCTAACTAAAAAGACCCCTCAGCTTGAACTCTGTCGCATGCCGTCTTTCTCTCTTTGCGCCACATTTTAAAAATTACAGCGCCCATTGCATCCATAGTCAGGCAAGAGAGAAGAATGGATATTTCTGCTCTGCTTTCCTTCTCCACACAACACAGGGTCCCAGCCAGGAAATGGCACCATCCGTAGTGAGTGGATTGTTTCACCTCGGGTACTGAAGTGAAGATAGCCCCCAAGTGTCCTCAGAGCCAGGTCTCCTAGGTGACTCTAGTTCTGTCAAGTTGACTCAACAATAATCACATGTACTGTGAGTTAGAGATTTTTTTTTTTTAATTTCCTTGTTCTTGAGACTGGGTTTTACTGTGTAGCCCAGGCTAGCCTCAAACTCAGAAGCCTCTGGTTGCTCTCTCCCTAGTGCTGGGATTACAGGTGTATACTGCGATGCCTACCTTTCTTTCTGCTTTCTTGCTTGCCTGCTTTCCTTCCTCCCTCCTTCCCTCTCTCCCTTCATGCCTTCCTTTTTTCTTTCATGTTCTCCTTCTTTCCTTCCCTAGCTGGAACTTGATATCAGGATGGCCTCAAACTCACAGAGCTCTGCCTATCTCTGACTCCTGAGTGCTGGGATTAAAAGTGTGAGGTTGGGTACAGTTCTGTTTTACCTGTATGGTATATCCAGAAGAATCCATTCATTCCTAAATAGATATTTAAGTTGTCCCTAGATCTCTTTTATTTTGGTTTTGTGTGACAGGTCTCATGTAGCTCAGGCTGACCTTAAACTCCTGATCCTCCTGCCTCTAACTTCCTCTTGAGTGCTGGGATTGTAGGTACAGGTGTGTGGTTCTCTACATTATTGAAAATATGATGTAGTGCTAATTCTTCTTTGAGATCATTTATCATCTATCTATCGGTCATCTATTTATTGTGTCTGTATGTGGTGTGGTAGTGGTGGTGGTGGTGTGTGTGTGTATGTATGTGTGTGTATGTATGTATGTATGTATGTATGTATGTGTGTGTGTATGTGTGTATGCAACAGTGCATGTGTGGAAGTCAGAGCACAAATCTGTGGAGTTGGTTCTTTCCTTCCATCTTTATTTACATGGGTCCCAAGGATCAAACTCAGGTCAGGCTTGCAAAAGCAAATGTCTTTTCCTGTTGAGCCATCATGCCAGGCCAAGATGCAACTTCCAATGCTTTTGGATTTATACCCAGTGGTGGGGTTGTTAGGTAAATGGGTAGTTCGAGCTTTAATGTTTTTGCATTCCTGTGCCATTTGCCATGGTGCCTACTCTCACCAGCAATGCACAATTTCCCGTCTCCCTAATTGCTCACTAATAATTGCCAACTTTCTGTTTTCTATTGCTTTGTAATAGTTATGCTCATCGACTCTGGTAAGACAGTGGCTTCCTCTGCTGTTGCTGCTGCCGCTTCGTCCTCTTCCTCCTTCTTCTCTTCCTCCTCCTTCTCCCCCTTTCTTTCCTCTCCTCCCCTCGTCCTAATAGAGTCTCTATGTGTAGCCCAAACTGGTCTCAAATTTGGGACCCTCCTGCCTTCATCTCCCAAGTGCTAGGTTGAAGGTGTATGCCCACCTAACCAAGCATTTTTCCATGTAGCTATTGGTGTGCATCTATTAAAGAAATGTGTACTTTTAAATTGGGTTATTACTTTTTGTTGTTGTTATTGAATTGTACAAGTTCCTTACATGTTTTGGAAATTAACCCCTGACCAGATACACAAGTGGCAAATATTTTCTCTTCTTCCTCATAGGCTGCGATTCTTAACATAGTCCATGGCCATTACAACATCAAAGAGTCATGAGCCAAATGTTCTTTGACAGGAAACTGGGTAAGTAGATCTCAATCCATGCATATAATGCAGTTACTTGTGTTAGTTTAAAAGACAGATGGTTCTGGGCAGATCAATGTGGAGATACATAAATAAATGCAGTGATGAACAAAATGAGGTTTTTTGCTTTGTTTTTGTTTTGAAGATTTATGTGCATTGGTGTTTTGCCTGCATGTATGTCTGTGTGAGGGTGTCAGATCCCCTGGAACTGGAGTTATAGACAGTTGTGAGCTGCCTTATGGGTGTTAGGAATTGGACCTGGGTCCTCTGGAAGAGCAGCCTGTGCTCTTAGCTGTAAACTATCTCTCCAGTCCAAAATGAGAAGTTTTAAAACTCTGGAATATGACAATGTGGTAGGGTATTTACCTAGAATGAGTGAAGCTCTGGATTTTATCTGCAATGTTAGAAAATGACAAAACCAATCCAAAATTTCTGCAGAATAAGATTCTGACTTCAAGAAACAAAAATTTATAGATATGGAAAGATACTCTGTGAGTTATTGTTTGTTTTGTATTTGAGGAAGCCTTGCTATGAAGCCCAGGCTGGCTTAGAACTGCTACAAATCTTGCCTCAGCCTTTTATGTGCCTGGATTATAAAGGAGTGCACAGCTGTGGAATGAGCAAGCAAATGTGCCTGCGTGTATGCGCGCACACGCGCGTGCACACACACACACACACACACACACACGAGTGTTGATATATTCTTAGGAGAACCTAGAGCTATGAGTGTAGATCAGAGGTAGGGTACTTGTTCTACACTCATGAGACCTTGGACCTTAAGGAGAGAATAAAAGAGAAAAGAAAAACAACAAAAAGCCGTTAGACCCAGAAAGATTCAGGACATATAACACGCTAGAGAAAACTTTCCTTTCATTCTTATTTTGTGGACTTTGCTGTTTGTTATGAGCTTGCTTTGCTTCTGTAATTTAAAAAGCACCATAGAGATTAAGAAAACACACCTGACTGGAAAGATTGTTGTATGAACGCACTTCAGATATCTTGAAAAATCGATTCTTAGGCTGATTTTACCATTGTGGATTTTTGTTACATCTTCCTAAAATGTGTCACTTTTACCTTTCTTGTCTTGCTTTTGCCTTCAAATATCTTTTTAGAGGTGGAGTATACAGAAACCTAAGTCCAGGGAGGCATGCAAGATGCAGTGTCCACTAAGACCATAGACTGGTGTTTCATTCCATGGTTTCTAGCCCAGGGTACATACTAGAAAAGCCCAATTTCAGACATATGGGAAAGGTGGCTGATTCCTTCAGGTGGTTTAGACCACGAGTGTTGGAGTCATAGATTCCTTTTTGTTTGTTTGGAGGCATAGATTTTTGTTTGTTAGAACTCATTGTATAGACCAGGCTGGCCTTGAATGCAAGAGATCCACCTGCCTCTGCCTCTGAGCACTGAGATTAAAGGTGTGTACCACCATGGACTGGCTGGCTTGGAAAGACTCTTAACTGCTCCTTTTGACGTGGGTTCCTTGACATCATCAGAAGTGGTTTAGTCACGTCTGAATTATCGGGTGTTGAGAGTTATGGATGTGAAGGGCCCCAAAGACAGTGCTTCATAACTGTTCATTTTCTGTTGTTGTTGCTTCCATAGGGAAGGACAGCCCAACAGCTGGAAGAAATTAGGGTAGATTAAAGGAGTCAAACGAGGAAAGGAAGAGTTTAATATGGATTGGAGATACAATTCCATTTCCTAGTCACTGTCTCCCTCCGCCTTCTCTCTCTCTCTCTCTTTTTTTCTTTTTAATTAAGCCTCCTGTTGTTAAGTGCTAGCAGATGCATAAGTGGTAGCTCAGTAGGAACTGGAGGAAGGGCCTGAGGCAATGCTTTGCAGTATGTGGAAGGATTGGGGGCTTGCATGGACTGGTGAGAAACAGTCACAGAACAAGGGACTAGGTTGTTCTCTGCAGAACTGCATCAACTCAGGAAGCCAGGGCCTCTCAGATAACCCTTCAGCTCTGGCAGCCTTACTAATCGTGAAAATACCCAGCCATCTCTAACCCAAAGACCCCCCTCCCCCCAGCCTGGTGTGGATAGGGCTATCACAATGTCCCTAAGGCCAAAAACTCTTTGCATTTATTTCCTAGCTAAGTCAGACTTTTCTCCTGAGCTCTTTGTGCCCAGAATGTCTCTCTCTGATCAAACGTGCTTACTAAGACGGCATCATGACCCTTTCCACCTGCCTGGCAGAAAATACCTAGGGTGCTTGTGCATGTATGAGTCAGAGAGAGAGAGAGAGAGAGAGAGCAGATGGAGAGAGAGGGGGGATGAGAGTGGCAATGGGTATGGGTCTGGCTGCTGGAAGCCGGACACAGATTTCTTACTCAATCTTCACAGCCATGGGGATTGAGAGGTAAGGTCCTATGACTGCCTCCCAGGGTGATGTAGTTTCAGGGTTGTCTTAGATGAGACCCTTTGAGAAGAAGCATCTTTTGTTTTACACCAGTCATTCATTCTCAACCTTCCTAATGCTTTGGTTCTTTAATGCAGTTGTGGTGACCCCAAATAGAAAATTATTTTGTTGCTACTTCATAACTGTAATTTTGCTACTGTTATGAATGGTAAGTATCTGATACCCAGGATATCTGATATGTGACCCCTGTGGAAGGATCATTGGGTACCAAAGGGGTTGCTGCCCACAGGTTGAGAACCACTGTTCTACACTGTGCTTAAAAAGTAATGATGATGTCTCAGTCAGTGTTCTCATGTTGTGAAGAGACACCATGATCACAAGAACTCTTCTACAGGAAACAGTAGCAGAGGTTATGGCGGGGAGCATGATTGCATGTAGGCAGACATGGTTCTAAGAAGTTGGGAATTTGACATCCGGATCTGAAGGCAGCAGACACTGGGCTTGGCTTGGGCTTTTGGAACTTCAAAACTCACCCACAGTGACATACTTCCTCCAATAAGGTCATACCTACCCCGATAAGGCCAAACCTCCTAATCCCTGGCAAGTGGTGCTACTTACTAATGACCAAGCATTCAACTATATGAGCCTTTGGGATCTATTCTTATTCAAATCACCACAGATGGTACTAGTTAAAAAACTTACACAGTGTTTCCATGTGCTAGGCACTGTTACACACACACACACACACACACACACACACACACACACACAATGTAAGGATGGAAAAATGTAGCCTAACTTTCCCTAGACTCTGCCCCCTAGCAGTGAGTAGGCAAAAGGTCACATTCTTGACTGTTTACAGGGCTGTTTATGACAGCACCTGTGAGTGAATGAACACAGGAAATGAGCCTTGTCACACTACCCAGAAGCCCTAGCGAAAGCAGACTTCCTGGGCTAAACACGGGCTTGGATAGTTCAAATTGATTGGTCTGCACTGGATGCTATGAGATGATTGGTTTGTGATGCACAGGCTTTGTTGTAACCCTATAAAAGCTGTCTAAACCCTGTACCCAGGGTTCCCAGTCCTCTACCCCATGTGGAGTATGGCTGTGGACCCCAGTGCACTGGAATATAAAAGACCTTATGCTTTTGCATCAAGACCGCTTCTCGTGAGTGATTTGGGGGGGGGGCGCTTTTCCTGTGTCGGGGCATGAGTGTTCACACCCTCCGAGGGTCTTTCAACGACACTTATTTATGCATTTAAAATTTTTTACAGTAGTCTTGGAAATGAAATATCTTGCTTTTTTTTTTTCTCCAGAGGAGAAAAATGAGACATAAAAAGGTTAATAAGATGTTCAAAGTCACTTGTAAAAACAACAAAAGCCCGAGCTTAAAGAACTGTCTGGACTTGAGGGTCTGCACTGCTCATTGTCCCATCAGATTATTGCCCCTCAAACTTGTGAGCCTACATTTAAAAGAGGGAGATATGGCAGCATTGAGGGAGCTGGCTTCCCTTGACATTTCAGCCAAGGATAGGGGTACATTCCCAGCTCACATTTGCCTGGTGCCCTGTCAGGCCAGCTCCTGAGGACAACACCGTACCTTTCTCCACTAGTCCCCTCATTCCTGATCAAGTCCTGCTCACTTTACCTAGTAACCCACTTGTATCCAGTGTTTGCTCATTTTGTTTCTGGGGACTGATCTTAGAGCCTAAGGTACCACCAGCCGACAACTCCGCTCTCAATCTGTAGTCCCCGGGCCCAAGTTGTGTGATTGTGGCCTGTCTTCCTTCCTTCCTTCCTTCCTTCCTTCCTTCCTTCCTTCCTTCTTCCCTCCCTCCCCCTCCCTCCCTACCCCCTACCTCTCTCCCTCCCTCTTTTTCTCTCCTTCTCTTCCTTTTCTTCTTTTTTGTAGTCCTGACTGCCCTGGAACTCACTCTGTAGACAAGACTGCCCTCTGTAAGGATTCGGGCACTATGCTGGCCTGCCCCTGTCACCAGGCAGAATGCACTCAGGCAGTGAGTACTCTGGTCAGCCCAGGGCTCCACGATTGCATGTTCTGCAGGCAGGTGCAAAGGACCCCTTTAAAAGGCAGACCCCGCCCACTTGCTCTCCTACTGCTCTTCTCTGCTCTCTTTCAGCTCTTACTGCTCTTTCTGCTCCCGACCCCTCCTCTCTTCTGTCCTCTCTCTGTCTCTGTGTCTCTTTCCCTCTTTTCTCTTTCCCTCCCCCTCCCTCCCCTGTCTAATAAAAGTCACTCAAGCTTGTCTGCCTGGCATGTTTGTGTCCCCCACCCCCACCTCGGTCACCCTTGCCTGCTATGGAACCTGCCACATGGGACCCCCCCCCCTCCAGCTTCATCCTAACATTGAAACAAAAGAACAACACCCTCAAACTCACAGGGATCCACCTGCCTCTGTCTCCAAGGGCTGGGAATAAAAGCACGAGCCACCCCTGCCCAGCCCCTCCTCTAGATTTTTAAAAGATGTGCAGTGCATTACTGTACCCCTGCTGAGCCGTGGCACACCACAGTGTCTTGCTCGTCTCTCACTGTGACTTCAGCCTCACTTTTGGTGTGAAGGGAGGGAACCTGGACCAGGCTGGGGTTCCTTCTGAACTTTGCCAAATGCTTTCGAT